AATTCCAACTTTATGTCATGGTTTTATGAAACGAACTTATTATATCAAGTTCGGCGATAACTTCACTTCTTTATTAAAATTTTTGGACTGGTCGGGGAAACAAAAGTAAATATAAGTGTCACGGGAGCGCATAAATCCACCAAAGCAATCAATATTACAAAATCTACCTATTTTACCAGCTTCACATAGGTCATACGAACGATAACAGTCCGGTGGAAATGATAAGCAGGTCACACTGAAACCACCGCAACTTTTCTCCTTATCGTCGAGACAATTCATCAGCTGACAGCCGCAGTCTCAAAATAAACCGTTGAACATCAAAGTCTACTTCATTCGTCAACAATCACAGAAAGTGGTGTTGCTTCATGACAACAACAACACACAAATGACTTTCTCCTGTATGTATGCTTTCTATTAATGAGCTGTTTCAAGAGGACAATGTCCAGGTAGTCGGAGAGAGCATAACTGACCCACAGAATTTCCAGAGTTACTGATAGTACGCCCGACATCCGATGAGATAGAGATTGATTTTGTCGACGAGGCATCGCCATCAGTAACTGAAGTGTTGGTTCATCGTTCAAATCAAGATTTCGTTATAATTATTAAATCTAAACATTCTGTTTCTTAGGTGTTCCTTACGGTTCTTCTCATTGCAGAGCATTTATGGATTAACAATTTAGAACGGTTTCATGGTGAAGGTTGTGGAGAGTGAGTAGATTATCATTGGGTTACGCGAATATTTGTTCATCCAATACGAGCTGAACAAAACAATCGATAAACTGCATATTGCGCTTCCCGGATTCTGAACCAACGCTTTGCTGTTTTCGAGTGTAAAAAACCGAATTTTGGGGAACAATTTCTGATATCGTCAGTAACGAAGAACTCATTCATTCAGTGAAATTGCTGATGAAATTTAAGGGAGTATTTGCAAAAAATGTATTGATGTCCACTTCGTGAGAATCCAGCAGAGCAACTAGCATCATGAAAAATTACCGGCTTTACACACATGACATGAAGCCTAGTTCTCGTTACGAATCTTCATGCAAGGCATCGCCAACATACCGCAAAACGTCCATAGGTCGTAAAGACAAGTCGTTAGCTTGCTGTCACATTTTCAAAAAACAAAACCACCCCTGTAAACAGTTAAAAACTAACAAACCCCATCTCTGCCAGAAGTCTATAGAAATTAGATTAGACGAATAACCATTAATGTCGTAACTAGCGGCGATTATATTGATTTGAGGTAGGCGTCTAGTGGCATTTGAATGTGAGCCGCTATTTACAACGAAACGAATATTTATTATGAGCAACAGGCAGCAAATAAACAATAATCAACGAAAGAATGACTTGAGCGATTGAGTGATTGAGTTGAGGGATAACGGGAGATTGATATGAGATCGAACGATTGAGTGATCGAGTCGAGGGATAACGGAGCTGGGGAATATTGGTTTACCCGAACGAACGAACGAGACGCACGATTGAACGAACGATGCAACGAACGATGCTATCGAATGAAAGCATCATCCTTTTATAGTGAAATCAGCGTAAAGAATAATGCGCGTGGATATCGGAGGAGCGCGTGCACAGTGTGATATTCAATACAAATTATTTAACCTATTCATGGAGAAGACAAAGGATAAGAGACGTTTGAATAGTACAGATAGAAGCTTATTCATAAAATGCTTGAATTACTTAATACAAAAATTTCAATACATAGATAAAGTGATTATATTATTCAACACAAATTTTACGATACGCTTTTGAAAGAGACAGAAAATCTCTGTCCATAGCTTATTCATTTGAAAAATAAATAAACGAATGAAATCATCTTTATCGTGAATCATACGATTCACGACACTCCCGACCGCGGAAGTTGTCCGGGGATCAGAAATTTGTCGTCACGATTGGGATGGGTGGCGAAAATATGCTGGGATGATCGTTCCTTGACAGCATTGGTNGTTGCCTTTCCAGTTTGACATTCCGTCTCCCGCAGTAATCGTTCGCCTTCTTTCCATCGCCAGCGAATATAGTACCTACCATCGTTGAATTTGGTGCCTTCTCGAAATTTCTGTATGGCAACATCGTCAGCAGTGATTGTAGGATTTTCAGTAATACCCATGAGTTCCAGTTTCCAAAATTGTTTCACTGGATCATTTGAAGTCGATGTCATCACTGTAAGTGAGTCGATTGCTGCTCTGATTGTTGAGTGGCGTAGCTTCACCTCTGCCATTTAATACCATTCCCAGACGAGATTCTAAGAGGGTGAAACCAGACGGTAGTTTCTTCACGGATAACAGGTTTATCACTTCGTTCATTTGATCAACACCGATCAAAACTGAAGCCGGTGCTGAATGCATCAGAAGTGGAATGGTGTTTCCTTGCGCAGATAGTTTTGACGGCATCGCAACGGTAAGTAGTCGATGAGTGGGTTTTGGAACGACGAGTGCACGAATTGCGATCGGCTCGTCGTCTCTGGATAATTGAACTTCGACGATATCAATTTGAGCATTCTGAATCGTGGTTTCTCCGAATCCGTTGATTGTGACGGATTTTCTATCGACAGTTGGCAGGTTGAGCTT